AGCCCTTCTATGCACATGAAAGACCCAGAAGTAGTTCCTGGTTTCTTGGTTTTTCACCAGCCCAGCTCCAGCAGTCACTGCCATTTGGGGAGTGAACAAACAAATGGAAGATCTGTCTATCTTTCCCTCTCCCTCTCTGTACCTCTGCCTCTCAAATAAATAAACTTTTCTAAAAAGTAAAAAAAAAAAAGAAAAATATCCTAAGGAACTCACTTTAAAACTATAAAATTATCTGATTCAACATTTTTTGAAGATTTATTGATTTTCATTGCAAAGTTAGATGTACAGAGAGGAGAGACAGAGAGAAAGTTCTTCTCTCTGCTGGTTCATTCATTCATCAAGTGGCTGGAGCTGAGCCGATTTGGAGCCAGAAGCCTCCTCCAGGCCTCCCACATGGGTGCAGGGTCCCAAGGCCTTGGGCCAGCTCCCTGCTTGTAGCCTCATTCCCAGGCTACAAGCAGGGAGCTGATGGGAAGTGGAGTACTTGGGACAAGAACTGGTGCCCGTATGGGATTCTGGCATATGCAACGTGAGAATTTAGCTATTGCGCCATAATGCTGGACCCTCTAGTTCAACATTTTAAAACGATAGTCAACACACAAAACTCCATTGTATTTCTTTATGGTAGTAATGGAACAAACCAAAAATAGAATTCAGAAAACAATTCCATTTTAAGAGTATGGAATAGAATTAAATACATAGGGGTTAAACAAACAAAGGAAATACAAATCTTATACTCTTAAAAAGTACCAAAGGTTTTGAAAAGAAATTTAAGATCTGAATAATTAGAAAGATATCCCATGCTCATTGTTTAGGAGATTATATTATTAAGATGGCAATATTATTTCTAAGTTAAACTACAGGATCGATGCAATCTCTGTCAGAATCAAAGTTGGTTTCTTTGCAAATATTGACAAGCTGATACTAAATTTGCCTGTTATTTCATGGGACTAGCCAAAATAGAGGTAAGCCCGGGTACCAAAGGATAGCACAAATCTACAATAATCAGGAGAGTGTGTTATTGGCTTAAATATAAATGTACAGATCAACAAAATTGGGAGTCCTCTCAATTATTGATGCAACAAGGAAGATAAGAGCATTATCAACAGGCAAAATGATCGTATCTTCAGCCTATGGTCCTGAGGACAATTAGACAGCCACAGGCAAATGAATGAAACGAATGGAATTGAACACCTCCTTTCCAAGAGGCAGAAATGAACTCAAAACGAACTGTAGACCTTAATAAAAGATCTAAGACCGTGAAACACCTGGAAAAAAACTTTGGAGTAAATCCCTGTGACCCTTAGCTCGATGAAGATTTTTAGATATGATACTAAAGCACAAGCAACAGCAGCCGATATACTGGGCTTCCAACAACTGAAATGACGTTTTAGTTATTTAAAGACCATCCTCAGAGCCCGTGTTGTGACACAATGCCAGCACCCTGTGTAAGCACCAGTTCCAGCCCCAGCTGTTCCACCTGCAAACCAGCTCCCTGCCCACGTGTCTGGGAAAGATGGGAGACTCGGATGGAATTCCTGGCTGTGGCTACACCCAGCCCTGGCTATTAAGCACATGAAGCTAACCAAGGAATGAGAGATTGTTCGCTTCCTATCTGCCTCAGTTGTCTGCCTTTCAAATAAATAAAATAAATTTTAAAACTTTAAAAAGACATCATCGACAAAGGCATATCCCATTAAATGGAGGAAATCGCTTTGCAGATCGTGTGTGTAAAAAGGAACATCTACCCAGAATATTTAAAGAACTCTTACCAATGAAAAAGACAAAGTCAACAATTTTCAAATGGGCTAAGAATTTGAGTAGATATTTCCAAAAATTAGAACACGCTGTTAACTCTCAGAGAAATGGCAATCAAAATCACCAGGATGATTACTCTCAAAAATAAAGATAATGAGAAGTATGCATGAAGGACATGAAGAAATTGGAACCTCCAGTCACTATGGATGGGGTTATAAAATGGTTTAGGAAATAACTTTTCATAAAGTTAAGCAAAAATTTATCAGGCAAGTCCAGCAGTTCCATTACAAGACACTTAACCAAAGGATATAATAACATATGTCTACACGAAAGCTTGTAAATGAATGCTCATAGCAAGTATTGTCCTTGATGGACCAAAAAATTGGAAATAACTAATAATCAACCAACATGAATAAAGTAAAGGGACTGACGTTGTGGTGCAGGGGGTTGTTACTGCCTTGGATGCTGGTATCTCATATGAGTACAGGTTCAAGCCCCAGTTGCTCCATTTCCAATCCAACGCCCTGCAAGCGTGCTTGGGAAGGCAGCAGTGGAAAGCCCAAGTGCTTGGCCTCCTGATTTCCACGTGGGAAGCTGAGATGGAGTTCCTGTTTCCCACTTTGATCTGCTCTAGCCCCGACTGTTGCAGACATCTGGGGGAGTGAACCAATAGACGGAAGATCTCTCTCTCCCCCCTCCCTCTGTAACTCTTTCAAATAAATAACTAAATCTTTGAAAACAAATAAACTGATCATTAATTGAACAAAAAGAAAACAAGGCTGGTACACGTTAGCGCACGGATAAACATGGAAAATATTATAGAGAATCTATTGTTAATTCCCTCCAACACAGCGATCACCTCAAACACTGTTTTTACTTCTGAAAGCTAAATTTGACTTTTGAAAGTACTTCTTTCTCTAGCTCTCTGAACATTTTAATGTTCTTGCCTGCTGATTTTAAAATATTATTTGAAAGCCAGAGCAAGACAGATTGTTCTTTGCTGGTTCACTTCCCAAATGGCTCCAGTGGCTGGAATTGGAACAGACTGAATCCAGGAGACTTCACCCTAGTTTCCCATGTGAAGGGCAGGTTCCCAAGGGCTTGTACCGTGCCATCTTCTCCTCCAGGCACATCAACAGGGACCTGGATTGGAAGCAGAGCAGCACTCTAATATGGGATGCCATCAGCTTAGGCAACAACCTAAACCCTCGTGAAACAGCCACAGTCCCTCTGCCTGCTAATTTTCATAACTCCATCCTGTCCAGGTCAGTTTGATTGATGAGTTACATTCCTCATTGTGAGTTTATATTTTCCTGCTTCTTTGTACGCCCAATTTTTCATACCATTCATTGTGAAATTAGCATGTTAGGGACTGGATATTTTTGTAGCCTCATAAATATTCCCGAGTTTGTACTGAGGCATGGTTACTTGGAGACAGTCTGATCCCTGAGGTCTGTTAAGCAGGACCAGAGCATCCATCAATTAAGAGCCACCTTTGTTCTACAATTAAGGAAAGCCCGTACTGAGTACATAACTTATGGGCCTGCGAATTGCAAGAATTCCAATCAGTGTACCCCCTGGGAAGGCAGCAAATGATGAGACAAGTTCTTGGGCCCCTGACCTGGAACATAAAAGATTTGGATGGAATTCCTGGCTCTTGGCTTCACACTGGCCCAGCCCTAACTATTGTATGCATCTGGGTAGTAAATCAGTGGATGGAAACATGCTTGCCCTCTCTCTACATCTACATCTATATCTATATCTTGTGCAAACCACTATGGTCAGGAGAGAATAATACAATGTGTGACTCAATGAAACAAAAAGTATGTATCATCTGCATTATTGTGTATGTAAATTTGTACATTTGTATCTTCTTGGAATAATTTTCTCGAAATGAAACTGTTGTGTCACACATTTTAGACCGTTTTTCAAATGTTCTCCTAGACAAATTTATAGCACCTGAACTTGTCAACAGTATGTAATACTTCTTATCATTACTTTGTTTATTGTTGCAAGCTAGCAAGTTAGTTATATTTCATTGCTTTTAATTTTCATTGTTTCAATGCAGCTCCTCTAGATTTTTTTTAAAAATGCACTTATTTAACTGGTCTGAGGAGCAGAGAGATAAAGACAGAAAAAGAGAGAGAGTGGATAAGTAGAAACCATCTGATGGTTCACTTCCCATATGCCTGCAATAATCGGCACCATGCGAAATGAGATCCAGGAGCCAGGAACTCAATCCCATGTGAGTGGCAAGGACCCAAATACTTGAGCAGTGATCTGTGGGTATCTTTGGCTGAGTTCCAAGTCCTATGCCAAATACCCTCTTCTTTGCAGTTCTTTGGTGAGCCCAGAAGTCAAAACTTTTTTTTTCCACAGACATTTACTCTACAGTGGCTATTTCCTTACTGCTAACTCTGTCTTATACGTAGCACTATTTTAAAATGTAAATTGTCTTCCTGTGTTTTGGATCATCTATCAAACAGTTTCTCATGATTTCTGTCTTTGATGTTGACACAGCTTCATGTAACTTTTTTCAACTGGCCCCAGTTGGCATGTAACCAGCTTCTCTTTAAGATTAACTATGTCAGAAAAAATGAAAAAAAAAAAAAAAAGATTAACTATGTCAGGCCCAGCGTGGTAACCTAGCAGCTAAAGTCTGACCTTGCACACAGTGGGATCCCATATGGGCACTGATTCTAATCCCAGCTGTTTTACTTCCCATCCAGCTCCCTGCCTCTGGCCTGGGAAAGTAGTCAAGGTGGTCCAAAGCCTTGGGACCCTGCACCTGTGTAGGAGTCTTGGAAGAAGCTCCTGGGTTTGGACTGGCACAGGTCTGACTGTTGTGTCCATATGGGGAGTGAATCATCGGATGGAAGCTCTTCCTCTCTATCTCTCCTCCTCTCTGTATATCTGACTTTCCAATAAAAATAAAATAAATCTTTTTTAAAAAATCACTGTGTCATGTATTAAAAACAACTTTGGAAACATGCTTCTTCTGTCCCTCGCTGTTCTCCTGTTTCTTACAAGATTTCCAGGGCTGCAGGCAGCAATTCAAAACACAGTTTCTCCCAAGAGGCTAATTAACAGGCAGTGCTTCTGTTATGGTTACCAAGTACATCAGTGACATGGGTTAAGAGGCAGATATTCTAGTTGACGTTGCTCTGTGATCATTAGTTTAAGAAGATGTGTGAAGGATGATACTGACACGTCCAGTAACAACACATTTGTTTCTCATTTAGGACCTTCTTAAAATCTCACTTGCTCTGGTCTGATAGCCGGCTGCTGCTTCCCAAGGTAAGCATTACTAGAATGCTGATTTGAAAGCAGGACTCTAACCAGGTATGTGACATGGGCATCTCAAGCAGTGACTTGACACCCACACATTGAAGCAAAAATTATTTCTATTTGAAAGACACAGTTAAACAGAGAAGGAGAGAGAGAGGGAAGAGAACTTCTATTTTCTGGCTCCCCAAATGGCTGCAGTAAGCCAGAGCTTCTTCTGAGTCTCCCAAGTTTGTGTGCAGAAACCCAAGGGCATGAGCTATCTTTTGCTACTTCCCCAAGCCATTAGCAGGTAGCTGGATCAGAAGCGGAGCAGCTGAAGCAGAAACCAGAGTCCATATGGGATGCCAGCATCGCAAAACAGAAGCTTAACTTACTACCTGTTCAAGACCCAGCTGCTCCACTTCTGATGCAGCTCCCTGCTAATGTGTCTGAGAAAGCAGGAGAAGATGTGCAGCCCAGCCAGCCATGGGCATTGTAGCCGGCTGGAAAATGAGCCAGCAGATGCAAGGTTTCTCTCTCTCTCTCTCTCTCTCTCTCTGTGTGTGTGTGTGTGTGTGTGCACGTGTGTCCCTCTTTGTAACTCTGTCTTTCAAACAAATGAATAATTTTTAAGGGTTTCTTTTCTTAAAAAGGAAATAGAATAAGCAGAATGCACTGCTTGGAAACTTAGCTTGACAGTGGAATACAGACATGTCCCAGAGGAGGCACTCAATATGCATCTTTTTAAGTTGAATTGGTTCTCTGTAAAAAGTAGGAAAATTTTTCTCTGTTACCCTCACCGGCCTGGATATCTTTTTTGTAAAGTATATCAAAGCCTTGGAAGAAAAGATGAAAAGAAGGGAACTTACTAGAAGTTGGCAAAGCAAGCATTCCTTGCAGCCAGTGGTTTCCCCTAAGGCTGACACTTTGTATTCGGGCAGGATCTACTTACCTGTCCATCTCACTTAGCATGTCATGTTAAAGAGGGTTTTGTTTATTTGTCTGTCTGTTTCTTGTGTATATAGCTGGCATTTCACTTCTCCCCACATTGTGGACTCCCACATAGTAGGATCTTAAGATTTATTCTGCCTTGTTTTCCTACATTGAGGGTCGATCCTCAAAATAGTTAACCCCCAGTGCATCATAGTCCATTCTGTACTCATTCAAATGGACACAGGTCTTTCTTTTTAAATTATGTTCTATTTAATATTGTTTACATATTGAGTTGAGAGGGGTGCATGTCCACGTTGGCCTCTGATCAGGGTCAGGGAGGATCAGGTATGGGGGAAGGTGGATGGGATAAATGTTTTTTTTTTTTCTTTTTCGCTGGTATTATCACTTGGCATCCCCTAGTCAAACCAAATAGTACCCCCAACCTGCGTACATATCTGTCTGGGAGTCCATTGTGGGAAGCAGGGCAGGGTGGACAGCTTACCTAAAATACGGACTATTGCAGTAACTCTTAACCTTCCAGATTCTTAGCACAAAATTAGAGCTTTGCAAAGACCGGTTCTGTTGCTTGAGGGGAAACAAGGCCTGAATTGCCTGTTTTCTAGATACGCGTGCAACCTTTACAGAAGGACACAGAGGTTTCCAGAATGAGAGAATTTCTGAGGTTGCCTATGTGAAGGAGGGTGACCAGCCAAGCACCGGGGAACCCAGGAGCACTTCCTGTTTCTTAGTAAAATGCAGATGATCCAGTGAGATGCATAGATCTTTGGACAGCCTTAAATTAATCCAATCCTGGCCAAAAAAAGCAGTTACTGATTACAGTGAAGAAATGTCCCAAACCAGTTTCATGCTTTGCTAGGAATAGTTACTACTTTTTTCCCCTCCATTCTGCAGCTCACTTATCCTTCTTTTGACTAATATTTCCTGCAAGACTAATACCTGCTCTGGGCAATCTTGGGAGTGTACCGTGACCCCTCTGATTTCAGGATCACTCAGCCCTGTGGAATGTGACTAACAGCTCTCCACTGCCACTCATCTCTCCTCTCGGCTTTGTGCCTTCTTTCAGCTTCATTGCAATGTGGGAGTCAGGGGAAGGCCAGTTCCTACTATGCATCAGGCACTGGAATGGGTACTTCACATTGTCCCATTCTAATAACCCCGCAAGGTTACTGCTCTCTGCTCTTAACACATACAAACTAAGGTTCGAAGAATTGGTGTAACTTAGTCTCAAGGCGTGTAGCTTCTCCTCCATCAGAAGTTACCAGATGGATTGAAGTCTGCAGGGGCTGGTAAGAGAAGCAACTCAAGTTCATTCTAATGTTGCCAATGAATGGGTAGATCTTGGCTTCATGATGGTCTGGATACTCAGCCCTTCAATATTTCCTCATTTTTTTTCTGAGCCATTTATCTGACCTAATGATGTTGGTCATAAGAGGAAGCTGAAAATGGGACCATCTACTAACAGCTGCTCCGTATTTTTGTATCTCTGCGTTCCTGCATCTTGCCTGCCTAACAACGTGCAAGGGACGTTGCTTGAGGATGCTGTGGCCCAGTGGCTAAAGTACAGTACTCAGACTATACACATGTGAATCCAAGCTTCATCGCTTAGTAGCTGCCTGATCTTGTGCTAGGTGTTTAGCAGTTGAGCCTTCAGATTTGTTTTTTTTTTATTTGTTTTTTTTAAGATTTATTTCATTTTCATTACAAAGTCAGATATACAGAGAGGAGGATGAGACAGAGAGGAAGATCTTCCATCTGATGATTCACTCCCCAAGTGACTGCAACAGCCAGTGCTGCGCCAGTCCGAAGTCAGGAGCCAGGAACTTGTTTCCAGTATTCCACGCGGGTACAGGGTCCCAAGGCTTTGGGCCGTCCTCGACTGCTTTCTCAGGCCACAAGCAGGGAGCTGGATGGGAAGTGGAGTAGACGGGATTAGAACGGGCATCCATATGGGATTCTGGCGCGTTCAAGGCGAGAACTTTAGCCACTAGGCCACAGCACAGGGCCCTGTTTCTTTTTTATCTTGTAATATCATTTAAATAGACTTGTCCATATAAACGGCTTGGCACATAAGCTCCCACTTCACCAGTCAGTATTTTGTTGTAAAGCAAAGGCATTGAGGCAGGGATCCAGGTCTCAGGAAACACAAATTTTAGCAGAGGGGGTCAGATGTGGACATAAATAACTATAATACACAGTGAGAGAGTAATGGGTGCCATGGTGGTGGTTTATATGTGTGTGTGTGTGTGTGTGTGTGTGTGTGTGTGTGTGTGTGTGTAATGAGTCAGTGGAAGGAAGACTGCTTTTAGTAAGGAAATCAGAGGAAATGCGTTCATCCAAGCTGAGGGATGAGACTCACATTAGCCAGCGTTAAACCTATGGGGGCAACCCCAGTTATAGACGAGTGAACACAAAGCAAAGCTGGAGCTCATGGCAGAGTGTAGGGTCCTGGCCCACAGCAAGGCAGGTCTGGGTGCTCATTCGAAGTATGAGCACATGCCTTTAAGATCAACACAGGACAATACATGTTCAACCCTACCTGATCTTCCACAGAGTCATTCTGACCCCGGCGAGACTTCATCTATCTAGTCACCTCACCCAAAAATAGCTCTGGACGAGGTTCTAAATTAATGACTGTCAGCAAAGGCTTATGAAGTGTTTATCATGAGCTTTAAATTATAGATCCAGGAAAGGATCTCACAAACAAACAAAAGGAGTTGTAGTTAGGAAGATAAAATTAATATACGAACTGCTTTTGTGTAGCATTTTTATTGTCCTTGTTGCAGCTCAGAAAAATAACTTAGGCTCGCTGCAGACGATTTAGAAAATAAGGAGAAACCTGTGAGATAAAAGCAAAAGCACCCCAAATGTTACTACTTATTGTTAACTGTAGGTTAAAACGCAGTTATAGAATGATGATTCCCCCACCCCCGTGTGCGGTTTATCCCTTAACTGCATCCCACACTTGACCCCAGGGGAGGGTCTTGGATAAATGGTCAACATCCTTCCTCATTTTCTCCTTTCTCTCTTGAAACGTCTGTCTGGGATTGTGATTTCACTTAAAGTACAGGCAGGAGTTATTTTAAAGCGATTTCGGGTTCTTCACGGAGCCATCAGTCGGCAGCCAACTCTGGGAAGGCCTCTGTTCCTTGTGTAAGCCACCTGCTGGACTGTGTCGTCAGGGAAGGCGAGGAGAAAGGAAGTGAGTGGCACAGCACTAAACAAAAAAATGTACAGTATGAAAGCCCTGTTCCCGTTTGGGCCAGCTAGGGGGTCACCAAGTATCACCTTGCATTTGGGGAATGGTCTTCACCCGTTTTGTGGTTCCAAATGACAAGGCACTTCAGAGTGCAGATTCACTGCATGTGGCTCTCTGTATACAGGTGCATGCTCACGCATGATGTTGTGGGTACACATGCAAACCGCTTTGCGTACACATGTGTGTGTGTGATTCTCAACAACAAAGAAGAAACAGAATTCTGCCTACTTTTTTTTCCCCCCCCTTCAATGGTAATAAAACAAGGGCTACAGAAAAGTAGGTAAGACTATTATTTCCACTCCCCCCCCCCCCGCCGCTATATCTGGGGTAAAGGGGAAGGTAAATGGAGAAACCCCACCCAGTTTCCTATGCGTCCCAGGTCCCTGATGTGGGGCCTGCTCCAAGGGCCTTGCTCAAGTGGTTTTGATAGTTGAACAGTTCTGAATTGTTGCCATTCTCACCTTTCCAAGCATGATGAGGTTGCCGAAGAATGCAGTGATTGACATAGTCCATCTTAGAGTTTCTGTTTGTCCTCATTGGTAGTGAAGTCAGAAAGAGAGAAAGAGAGAAAGAGAGAAAGAGAGAAAGAGAGAAAGAAAGAAAGAAAGAAAGAAAAAGAAAGACTCATCAAAGCTGGTGCTGTGATGTAGTAGGCTAAGCCTCCACCTTGAGTGCTGGCATCCCATATGAGTGCTAGTTCGAGTTCTGGCTGCTTCATTTCCAATCCAGCTGGGAAAGCAGTAGTGGAAGATGGCCCAAGTCCTTGGAACCCTGCACCCATATGGGAGACCCAGAAGAAGTTCCTGCCTCCTACCAGCCC